GCACTGACTCTATGCACGGCAGTGACGGCACGCAGCCTACGTATTTCGGGTGAACTCTCACCCCCTTGTCCAAATACCGTATCATGTGCAGAAGACCCAGGTGGCAATCTGATGAGGCTGACGGCATAAGTCCCACAAGGGAACAGACTGACCTGGTCTTAAGTGGTGCAGAGCTGATGAAAAGGTCACTGTGCGCTCTTGAGAGAGGTGGGCTCGCATCTCCACCTAGTCAAAACACACACCCAGATATGTTATAGACTGGCTTGGGTTGAACATGCTCTTTGCATATTCACACGCAGCTCTATGGACCCCAGTTGGCGAAGCAGCACCTCTATATGACAGATAAGCACATCTTGTGAATGGCTAAAATCAGCAAATCGTCCAGATAGTTCAGAATGTGCATACCGCTCGCTCTGAGAGGGGAATCTATGCACTTCGAGAATGTGCGCGGGGTTAAAGCCAGCCCGAATGGGAGCACTGAATACTGGTATGCTGTGCCCTCGAAAGCAAACCTCAGAAAGTGTCTGTGGCACGGTGCTGTCTGAATATGGAAGTATGCATCTTTTAGATCTACGGATGCAAACCAGTCCCCGGGACAGATTTGTGCCAGGATCTGCTTCAGAGACGTCACCCTGAACGCGTGCTAGTGAATTGCTCTGTTAATGGGTCTCAGGACCAGGATCGAACAGAGTCCCCCCATCTCTCTTGGGCACCAAAAAATAGCAGCTGTAAAACCCGCTCTACAGCTTGCTCTGAGGGATCGCTCCTTTTGTCAGCAGGCTGTGAACCTCCTGTCACAAAACAGGGGCATTTTTTGGTAATATCAGTGACGGAACCATGCCGTTGAAACAGGGTGGTCTGCGTCTGAACTGGAGAGAATACCTGTATTCTATTATGCCCAGCAGCTAGCGTGAAATGCCTGGAATAGCTCTCCATGCATATAGGAACTGACACAGTGGCCGAATCTCTCCGTATGCTATTGCTGGCAGTGATGTTTGAAGACTGGCACCTTGCCCCAGCGAGGCTAAACGCACTGGAGGGGAAACAGCTCATGGAGGATAATACTGGTAGGCCATAACAGGCACAGACAGCAGCTCTGCTCTGTTCTGAGGCAGGTAGTGTTGAGTCGTTCTTGAACGATTCGTTCATTTTGAACGAATCTTTAATGTGACTCGTAATTGTTTACCTGGGTCTTCAGTCTATGATTAGCTCACCTCACCTCTTATCTGACAAGTCTTCGGGTTTGAGTCGTTCGTTCATCACGTGACAGCCCCATAAGTTTAACCAATGCAGTTTGAGCCGGAAAGAGAATTGGTTAGTTCATCTCTCGAGTCTTCGGGTTTTTCCGAGTCATTTGTTCATCACGTGACAGCCCCATAAGCTTTAACCAATGCAGTCTGAGCTGGAACGATAATTGATTAGTTAATCTCTCGAGTCGTTCATTCGTCACGTGACAGCCCCATAAGTTTAACCAATGCAGTTTGCTCGAAAAAAGATTCGTTCATTTTGCTGAACGAGACTCAAAGGTCCGAACTTCCCATCACTAGAGGCAGGATCCCGGACCCAGTCCACTGCTTGCGGCGAACATCCTGGCAGGTTCCTCTGGAGCATCCCAGTTGAGGTCGAGCTCCTTCACAGCTTTTGCGAGGACCCTGACGAGCTCCACATGGAAGTCTGGGGGCCTTCAGTGTCGGGGCGATCCTGCTCCGACTCTGCCCAGTCCTTTTCTGATGCCGAGATGGACATGGAGTATTCATCTTCTTCAGCGCCGCAATGCGAATAAATTCATTTACAGTAATCCGCGGAAGTTCTTGAAAGCTGAAAAATCATCTTCTCCTCTGTCATTTTGAAAGCTCTTTGTAGGGAACAATGGCTTCCGGCACAGCACCGAATGTAAATAAGCACCCTGAGGAAAAACGCATAGTTTATTAACATTGTAACTCTATGAAACAGGTTACTCCCAAGGTTGTGTGTATGTATTAGTGAGGAATAATTTGACATTATAGCCAATCATGATTCTGAAGAAGCATAAACAAAGAAAAAAGTGAAATAACTCGATCGTATTGATAAAACAGTGCTGTCAGTACCATGTCAGCAGTGTTGGGGAGTAACTAGTTACACGTAACGGAATTACGTAATTTAATTACAAAATAAAAGTAATTGTAATCAGTTACAGTTACTAAGAAAAAATGTGTAATTAAATTACAGTTACTTATGAAAATGTTAAGGATTACAAAGTGGGTTACATTTGATTTTTTCACACACTCCCACATACAGATTTAATGGAGTTCTTTCATAAATTGCAGTGACCGCTCTAAAATATGAAACACCAATGTTTCAGAAGTTTATAACATTCTTATATGCTTTATTTTTTTAAGATCAACTGTTTTTTTTTCTAAGGCATCGTTAGATTCCAGTGTTTCCTATCATAGCTATGCAAAGATTTGATTTCAAAAACAGTATCATAGCTATTAAAACTATTTCTTGTTATGATTTTAAATATGTATTTAACCTCAGAATGATTTTAAAGTAAGTCTGATTTTGTGGTGGCTGTGCTTCAAAGGGGACATCGGATGCCCATCTTCCACAAGTTGGTATGATTCTTTAGGGTATTCTTGAAATGGTCTCAGTGGTCGTGTAAAACAACACCCTTTTTACCTTGTCAAAAACAGCTCTGTTCACAGCAACTCATTTCGGTGCATATCTCTTTACATGCTAATGAGCTCTGCTCACCCTGCCCCTCTCTTCTGTGGAAGAGCAGATGCAATTCGCAAATAATCATAAAAAATAAAAAGTGTGTTGGCACCGATAGCCTTGTGGGCAGCACGCTGACATACAGTGCCGTTGCGCTTTGGGCGTCCCGTGTTCAAATCCTGACTCCAGGAACTTTCCTGATGCACACATACAGCAGTAAACACACCGTAAACACACACCAACAAAGTTGGGGGTTTGGTGTCTTGCTCAAGGGTCTCACCTCAGTCGTGGTATTGAAGCTGGAAGAGAGCGCTGGTATTCACTCCAAAATCAAAATGGCTTGATAATTGAGACTGTTTAGGTTTTTGGGGGATTAAAAAAAAAGGAGTGAATTTTTATCATTGTATGGTTGTGTCCACACACTGCTAAGACACATTTATATGCAAATGAAGATATTTTGCATCCAATGTCTCCTTTAAAATTAATCTTAATCTTAATTCAAGCGATGAAGGATTTCAAACGTCTGACAGTTATCAGTGTTGAGCACATATTGTAAGTTTAACCCTGCCTGGTTTAAATGTATGAAAATTATTAACAGTTGAAAACATTAGAAATTTAGAAAAGCAATCAAAAAGTAATCAAATGTAATCAGTTACATTACTTTAATAAAGTAATTGAAAAGTTACACTACTTATTACATTTTAAGTAGGGTAACTTGTAATCTGTAACCTATTACATTTCCAAAGTAACCTTCCCAACACTGCGTGTCAGAAAATTGAAATAAGAGTTTAAATATTTGTTTCCATTATTTATAAATAATTTTTAATTGTTTTTCATGTACAAAGGGACAAAAAACAAGATTCCACAGCAACTTCTTAGAAGTAGGCCTAAAAATGTGAAATGCTAAAATTCATATGCCAACATCACAATGGGCTTATGTATGTCTCACATTACGATTAGACAAGCAATTTCTTCTGATTGGAAGAGTAGCTAGGCCACTTTAAAGATTGCTGAAAAATCTATTTGAAGACTAAATAAAATACATTGACCACTTTATGTGTACAATCTGATGACTCATTAGTCAAATGCATTGTTCTCTTTGATCTTTGCCTTTCGATAGCTTCCCTGTAAGCTTTTTCACTCAGCGTAAAGTATTTATGAGCAGCAAAATAAAACTCTTGAATGATGGTCTCAAGCAGGTGTTTCTTTAATGATTTACATTTAGTCATTTAGCAGACGCTTTTATCCAAAGCGACTTACAAAACACATATACATATATATATATATATATATACTGTATATATATATATACACACACACACATACACATACATACATACTGTACATATACACACACACGCACAAAGAAAAACAAGTAGATAGAATAGAAAAAAATTTGAGAAAGCTAGTTCAGAGTATTTGTTCTGGAGAGATACAATTTTCAACAGTATTGTTGGCCTGTGCAGTATCTTTGTTTTTCCACTTTTTTACTTCCTCCAGAATCCTTCTTGCACTTTATTTCTTTACTCTTTTTCTGAAAACTTAGCACCAGGTGGTCTTATCTTATCAAACCTGACAGAGACCCAGAGTGTGCAAAAAAATATGTATGCAAAATCAAACTAAAATTATTCAACTTCCTGAATCTATCTGGGGAAAAAACATCCAGTGAAAAGCTGTTTTTGTGAGATACTGACCCCAAATACACAGGCTATGGTATGTAGAAAATCCAATTTTTTCAAAAGTTTTCTTTTTTTAAAGTAAATTAACTTCTCTTTCTTGCACATAGCTTTATGGTCATGTACTCATGCTACAGAAACTGCTTCCAAATGTAGTATTTCTGGCACATTTCTGATTTTACAGAATGCTACAAAAAAAGTTAAATTCATGTGAGGCAGTCAGTCTAATCAGAGAAGATGACCATGGGCCAACTGCTCAACAGATGTCACATGGTCATTGAATTACACAGCACATTTAGGCACACAGTTCTGACAGCAGTAATTGAATGACTTCCTAACAGTTTTTCCCCCAATCACATTTTTTCATTTTTTGTTTGTTTTAATTACAGTGGTCAAACCCCACACAGTTCTTTTCCAAACACAGAAACTGTTGTCAGTGTGCCTACCAAACCAAGCTTATGAGGATATAAAACTTGTGACAAGTTAAATTCCTGATTCATTCAAGCCATATAATATGTAATAAATATGTAGGCTAATTAATTGACAACAAGCACATATAAGCACTCAACAACATTTTCCAACATCTTTATAAAATCTATTTTATTTTATTCACTATGTAAACTTTCCCCCTGGAATGCATACAAAAAGTCTCAAACTAAAAGTACATATTTTTGTTCATTTTTGAACTAAATTTTTATCTACAGTTCTTTTCATTTTTAGCATCCAATATGCTACACACATAATGCACCAAAATAAAAAGGGTTTTAGACATTCTTGTCCATCATGATCATTACACAAAAACAGTACAATTTCACTGAACAGACCTCCAATATTATTATCTGCCTTATTTAGTAAAACAAAACAAAAAAACTTATTTTTGAGATGCTTGTTTAGACATTCGCTCTTGCTCAGAACAGCAGATTGGTATCCATGTCCTCTGTAGGAATGAAAAGATGGAAAAGTTGAAAAACCAACTTGGTTTGTTTATAAAGTTTTTGATTTATTTAAAACGTGCATAAATAATGAATTTAAAGTCAATGAATAATAAATTAAAAACACTTTCAGCTGTTTAAAACAAGGCCTTCAAAATACTCTTACCTTCCTTAATGCCAAAGCAGCTGCACCACTCCTTGAAGGAGACCAGTTTGTCCTTGTCAGCATCACATCTTTGGAAAAAGACTGAGGTGCAATGCTCCATTGGAACTAGGGGAACGCGCAGTGGAGCCAGCTCAGAATGAGAAAGAAACCTGCAACAGCCAGCATATAGCGTATCCACAAGTTTACAAAAGAAAGAAAATCTGTATGATCATATTTCATGTACACACCACTTGAAAGACCAACACTAGATTCTTAAAGCTACTGTGTGAAATTTTCTCATATCTCAGTTTAATGCTGAGAGACATCTATAAGTAAATCATTCGTAGGCAGATTTCCCCTACACTGCAGCTTTAAAGCCTCTGTCTGACCACTGATGTTGTGGAGGATATTGGCACAGAGTTTTGTCTTTTTCTGGAAATGTCCCTCAACCACATCCTCACACCAGCTAAAAATATTACTGAACCTCCTGTATGAGTAAGTCAGAGTTAGAATAGTTTCAGCCTCAGACGTCTTGCCCACGAACTGCCCATTCGTGACCAATCACGTATGCACGTACTGTAGAACTCGGAACTGGTGATAATTTCCCAAAATTGCGTGTTCTTATCTAATTGGGTAGCTTTAAGCAAGTTTTAGGAATCAGGTATTTTTATCAATATTTTAGTCAAAATTCTGGCTGCAAGCAAATGTTAGAAGGAAATTTGACAGCAAAATAAATGTCAAGTGAATTTATTGACTTCATTTACAGAGATATTTGGGATTTCTCATTTCTGATCAACTAAATAATATTGCAAGAAGAAATCTGTACAAACACACAGCCCCCACCTGTCTGAAGGATGTTGGTCCATCTGTGCAAACTGCCAGTGAACTGGATAGATGTACATGTTGTAGTTCTTCTCAAAGTCCTGCTGTAGAAGTTCAACAGGGTGATCGCCTGCATGAAGCCGTCTCTCACTATCATAGATCTTCTGAACCTGTTGAGCAGAGCATTCGTCATCTGTGATGAAGCCATATTTGATGGTTTAGATACAATCAAGGGCTATTTTTCAAAGTAGTACATCAACATTGTGTATTTTACTGTCAAAAGTTGGAGAGCCGAGTAGAATTTGTCACCAGTTTCTTATTTTAAACCTACACTGTAAAAAATGATTGCGATTTTAACAGTAAAATACGCTACAGTAAAAATCTGTTAACTGGTTAACAGTCATTTCCATACTATATTCAGTGAATAAATGTAATTACATTTAATGTAATTTTACAGTAAAATACTGTTAAAAATACATAGAAGTGAAAAAGAAAAAGTCATTGTATAATTTACAGTAACAAACCGTAAATTGACACTCCCAGAATTCCCTGCATGACACTTCATATTTGATGTTTTTTTGTTGAAATAACGTTTCTTAGTTTTTTCTTATTAGTTGTGTACATTAGGGTTTAATCTTACATCTAATGTTGTTAAATTCATGTTTATTGCATTATTTCAGTATCATGTGTCACCATGATGGGGTTTAGTGTTTGTGTGAATGACACTGTGCACCTTCTATATATAAGTATTGCCCTCAGCTCGTAGAAAAGCTGTTTGTGATGAGCTTTGGTTCATCATGTGACTTTCTCATCACCAACAGTTTTTGGTGGTTATCAGTGCATTACAATGGTTCAAAACAGATATTAGCACTTCAATATGTTGGTTTATTAACATTACATCAGTTAATGAAATACAGTATTTTATTGTGAATTTAAGTTAAGCCTGTAAAACCTAAAATGTTGCTACCATATTTTTTACGGTGAAGTTCTGGCAACCACAGCTGCCGGTATTTTACCGTAAATGTCACAGATTTTTTTTTTACAGTGTACTATTTGTCTCTTTGGGAGACATGTGATATCTAGATGTCATGAAAAACTGTCCAGTATCTCTGAAAGACATACCCTGATTCTTTGTTTAGCTGTGAGAAAGCCAGGAGACATGGATTCATGCTCATATAACTGCAGAAGCACGTTCTTCAGCCAATCCCGCATACGCAGAGGGAACTGCACCAGCTCCGACTCTGGACATGGAGGAATAACTGCCAGACAAAACACACAAAATAAACATTAGGAGAAATAAAAATAGACAAAAAAGTAGATATGTAGAAACTCTAAATATATGTAAATCTTTACATTTCTTCTGACAAGGCGATTTTACGCCTAAAGTTTCACAAATTTAACCTCTCAGGTGCTAACAATTAAAATAAGCATATTCGTCTTTCTTACATTTGCAGGATCCAGTGTAATCCAGGTGAAGTCTGTGGCCTATTTTGGTCCCCTCAAGGCCACACTTGGTGGCAAAGAGCTGACAGAATGTGTCATATGTCTTATTGTCAGTTCCGCATACCTACAATGAAAATGTCCCAATGACAACAGCATATTACTTGCAAATGTTTTTATTATACTTTTTTCTTCAATCAATATCTGTTGATATTCCATTACAGATTTGATCTGTAATGGCATATCTAAATATGCGCTCTTAGAAGGTACAAAACTGTCACTGTGGCAGCACCCTGTCAAAAGGTACTAAAATGTACACTTTAGGTACTAATATGCACCTTTAAGGTAATATGTACAATTTAGGGGGTAAATGAGCATGAACCTTTTAGCTTTTGTACCTTAGGGAACCACCTCAGAGACAGCTTTGTTCCTTTTTTTCTGAGAGTGTACATTTGGAAATTAAAGCAGTTTTACTGTAATCAGCTGAATGCAAATTAAACTAATTACGTATACTTACATGGTCTAAATCATTTACACTGGGAGGACATTCTGACGGCTCCTGACACACACAGACGGGCTTGTACTCATCGTTCATTTTGCATGTCTTCCCTCTTTTACAGCGAAAGCTCTCGCAGGGGTCTGGACAAAACAGTGAAAGAATGTGCAAATATCTTGTAAAATACTGTATGCTCAATTCAAGCGTCCACTGCTGCTTTAAAAGGCTCTCAAAGAGACATCTAATAAAGGTTATATATAACAACTCTGTAAAGATGTGCCGGCATTCCTTTGCCTCTGTTGGTTTGGATAGAGCATAAACCAGGGGCTAAGGCTCTCATTGACTTTTTAAGCCAGGGCGGTTTAACAGTCTATGTTAAAGAAAACCTCTGCTCAGCAGATTCCTAATAAGAATTCGGAGCTATGAAGACAATGTTGAAACAACACTCACCAGCTGGCAACCCTTGTCCACTGGGCCGATGGGTGGGTCGAATGTCAGGGTAAAGCTCCATAGTGGCCCTAATTTGTATGGGATTCATCCCCACTAAGCGAGTCTGTAAAGAGGCATAACCAACACATTTAAACATTTCAAACACTTTCGAGGGGATATACTAAAAATATGTGGCCTAATTGAAACACTTAGTGCACCTGCTTAAACGATCCACGGTTTTTTTTTTTAAGTAAGTTTTTTCTTATGTGAGACTTCCAGTTCATTAACTACTAAATGTAAACTTAAATGCGATTTTTTTTCTCACTTATTTGCTTTTGCTTACACTATCGATTAGGTTTAGGGTTTTGTTTCAGACTCAGTAGGGCATTAACCTTTCAGCGCCACTAATATTTCACTTGAGAAATGTAATACAGTTTCAAAAGAAATGCAGACATGCTTTTATTGCTACTCAGTAAACATTTTACTTCAGTTTGAGATGCAATTTGAATAAAAAGAAGCTCAATCATTTTGTTTGCACTGTATGACACTGACTTCATGTGAATAGCCTACATATGGTGTTAATAGCATGTAGTTAAACTGTTTGCGGTGGTTGGTGAATTTCGCCTCTACTCCTTGAGCAAAATACTAATAATTCATTTAAAATTCAAGTATTAATCTACTAAAAGCATGTATGTGTAGGCTATATACTATCATGCATTGTGAAATGCTTACAGTCTCGTTTCACATCTATTTTATGATAATGTATGTGTGCATTTTTTTGTACCCATTTTCCATTCTTCTTTCTGGGTTTAGGCTCTGTATTTTCAGTGGGCTCCTCCAGTTTTTCCTGGTCTTTCCTATGAGTATGTTCTTCAGTTGCTTCCATTGTACTGGCTTGGTCACTCTGCATCTTCTCCGGCTTCTGGTTGTTTCGCTGCTTCTTGGCTTTGCCCTTTCCATGGCTTTTACTTTCATTCTTCTGTTTTTTCTTGTCCTTTTTTGCCTTTTTGCCACTAGAAGGAATTGTAGCCTCAGATTCAGTGCTGTTCTTTTCATCCTGTTGATCACTCTTCTCTTTTTCATTGTCATTCTCAGAGACTTGAAAAGGTTCTTTAAGCTCATCTTGGGTTTGTTCTGCTGGCACGTCCTGTTCCTCTACAATGTCCTCAGAGTCAGTGTTGGATTGCTGGGAATCATAGTCCACTGTGACTGTGGGAATCACATCTTCAGCAGTTTCCTCCATCTCTTTTCCCATAGTGTTGACGGTTGAAACTTTGGCCTCCTCCAGCTTGATGGTTAGTGACTGTGAAGCATCACGATCAGCTGCATAGTCCAAATCCATTGGTATCTCTGATTCAGTACTACTGTCAGTCTCATTTGCATCCTCTACCTTGTTCTCACCTTCTCTTTTTTCAGTTGCATCTTCGTTCTTCATTGTAGATTCTCCATCTTTCTTTCCCTCCTCCTGCATCTCCTTCGTTTCTTTGTCTTTTTCTGGACTGTCATCATCATCATCATCTACATCCTCCTCCACAGGTTCATCTACCTCCTCAGGGACCTGCAGGAGCTGAGTCAGTGCCTCGTCACTCAGGAGCAATGGTGTATTCTTCTCACCTTCCTCTGAACCTTCAAGCTCTTCTGCCCCTGCTTGCTTCATCTCCACACGGCTCTCATTCTCCTCACTCATGTCTTCATCCTCTGAGTCCTGAGTGCTGGACTCAAAAGGAAGAAATGTGGGCAGAACTCCATCCTTACTGTCATGATGCTTCACTGACTCTGACTTAAAAACAAACAAACAAATAAATGTAAAATAATAATATTACAATTATTATTATTATTATTATGAAGATTTTTTATTTTATTTTAAAAAGCCTACATTTAAGCAACCTATAACAGGCTGACAATTTTCAAGCCAGCAAATTATATATCCTGGATTAATTTATAAAACAAAAAATAAAATATTTTGATTGAATTAGTGTTCTTCAACAAATCAGTTGAGCGAATAATTCAATGACTGGCTCATACAGACTTCAGTTGTTTGTTTCTGAATTAATCAAAGTTTTTGAACAATCAATTTTTAAAAATATTTTCTATATAATATAATATAATA